GGACGGATCCTCCGCCCCTGTCTGCAAGCTGGTTGATCTCACCAATACAAAAAAGCGCGCTGCTTCGTTGTCATGCTCCACCCTTGCTCGCTGTGTCCCTGTCAACTCAGGGCGCTCCAGCGGGTGCTGCTCCGACCGTAGTCCAGCACCCAATCCACTGAGATTGTCTCCCAACCGCAGAAGATGAATGCCTTGGATAGCGGTGTGTTGGGTCCTGCATATAGGTCTGCCATCCTCGGCCACTGACAGTCAACTCTGTCCACGGGTTCCACCGTGTCCTGCCCAGCAGATATACCCGCATCCTCCGCTGGGCCCCGTCATGGCGAGACCTTCGCCCGACACTGACCATGTCCTGGCATGCCACAAACTCGCTCGTTCCTCACCACAATGCCGCACCTGTGCTGGCCCTGAGGGCATGATCCTGTTTGCACTGGCCATGCTGGAACGCCGCACCTTCCTCCCGTTCACCGGCTTTCCCAACAAAAAGTGGGATGGCGCCTGGGTGGCTGTAGGCGATGGCTGGGGTGATTTGCTTGTCTCAGTCCTGGTAACTCCAGGTACAGCATGAGGCACCCAGCGCTTATCTCTTGCCAAACAAGTCTCCTTGATAACTTCTCCCAAGGTCTTCGAGGATTTTCGGAATCGTGCTACCCAGTCGGACCTGTCTTCCAAGTCTCGAGCCTCGAGCCATGCCAACCTCTGTGACAGAGGGAGGAGGCTGGATTGCTCCTTGGCCGTGTAGAAGTATTGCATCACGACATCCAGCGGCACCTCCACGAAAACGGTAGAATCCGAACCCAGGGATTTCTCTCGGGTACTCTCCCCCAAGCTTCGTATGCCAGCAACTTCTCCATGGCAAGCCTGACAATGTGCTTGGTCCTGAGGGAGTGCTCATACCTCGCCGCACTGTAGTGGAGCGGCATCGTCGCCTCTTTGGGGATCTGACTCCGATCTGCCCAGTCCCCCAAGGAACACATCTCCAGTGGGGTGAGCTTCATCATCGTCGCCACAGTAGGCCCCGCGCCTCTCCAGGAGTATGATGAGAAGTCCTCTGGGTTCTGCACCAAGTGCTCAAACACCTCCGGGTTCAGGTCATTGACATATTTCAGCATGTATGCGGTGCCCTCCGCATCGAAGCACAGTCCTGAGCTTGCCTGCTTGTCCTTGCTCAGCGCGCTGTAGTCCCTGTACAGGGCTAACCCCCACGACCATCCATTCACGAAGGTGGCCGGGATGCAGAAAGAAAAGCCTCCCCTATTGACCTTCTGTTTGCCCTTGGGGCAATAGCCGTGGAATGTACTTGGGGTGATATTCACTGGCCGGGCTCTCATGATGTGCTTGTACCTCAAGACACCAAATGCCACCAACCAGGAAGAAAGCAGTCCCCGCCATCTCGGATCACCTGCCTCGTACATAGACTGTATGCGCTCTTCCAAAGCCGCTATCATCGGCGGCTTCACAGGGTTCTTGCGCGCAGGCATGGGGACGTCTGTTTGGCGAACCACTTGGGCGAGTGATAAGCACGGTATGGTCCGTTGGTCCCGGACTGTAAGAAGCCGTAGATGTCCAGCGCATCAGGCGGGAACAGCCGGTCTTTTTGTTCCATGTAGGTGCGCAACTCTGCCCAGGACTTCAAGGCGTTCACAACTGTCGCCCCCTCTGCCTTCGTGACTTTGGACTTGGCAAGCATGTCAAGGGCATCTTGCCATTGGGCATAGCGTTCAGGGGTTAACTCCCCTTGTGGGCGCATGACTTTCGCCTGTGAAAAGGCTTTGCGCAACGCCTCCGCTCTCAACAGCACCTGCTCATGCTGATCTGGTCCTGGTCGGATACGAAGTGCCTGGGCCATCTTGCTCTTCTTCAACATCGAGGCCTTGAGTGCTGGCCGACTGGCAAGGGGCCTGTCTTGCGACCCAAAGCTTTCCGCCACCGCTGCTGCCCTTGGAATGAGCTCGTCTTCCATGTTCTGAGATCGGGCTTGAAGCCACGCATCCGCATCATGGTGCCCTCCATGTGCGACTGCGCTGTCATATGATGCGAACGCATAGGCAAAGTCCACATCGTCCAACAGGCCCCACTGCGATCTCCATTGCTCCACCCTGTAGTCGCCACCCTCCCCGTTGTCAGCTGATTCTCTGATGGAAGGACCTCACCAGCCGCCTGGACCGCATAGGCCCCTGGATGGTACGCCATTGCAACCCCCGACAAACATCACTAGGCCGCCGCTGCTGCAGCTGGGCTTCGACGCAAGTTGGGGTGACAACCTGGACACTGGGCGGGCGGACAGGTACTGCACAGGGAGGAAAAGCAACGGGTGCAGAGCTCTAATGTGGGCATTCCACATGCTCTGCATGGAGGTAAGGGTTCCTCCCCTGCCTCCAGAGCTCCAAGCCATCCCCACAACGACCGAACTGCCCTGGCCTGTGGTGCTCTCCACGCGACCACGTCAACCGGTATGGGCACCAATGACGGATCTCTCCATTCCCGACGTGGCATCTGCCAACTCCTCCAGGCCTCCCACAGCTCGTCAAGACCCACCATGCTGTCACCACTGCATGTGCTCGACGATGGCCACCAGGCCGTAGATGTTGTCCGGCGCAAAGTCAACGGCAGTCCACTGTGTGCGCAGCGGTTCAATGAGCAGCAAGTCCAGCTTCGCCTCACCAAGGCGATCATAGTAGGATTGCCGCAAACTGCGGGTCACTCCAGGGCAGAGCCAACACAGCTGAGTTGTTTGAGGTACCAAGCCATTGGAATTTGAACCCTCCCAGAAACTCGGTACATCTCCTACAGTTCTCAACCATGCAAGGTGCCCTTCCGAATGGGGGAAGTCCCTCCACCCCCAAACCAATTGGATGCGGGGGAACACTAATTGGATGCGGGGGAAAATGGTCAATCTGGCACACCGAAGACCACAGGCGAACCGCCTGGGAGGTAAGTCCCCTTGCAGCAGGCTTTCCACGTGGGTCTTGAACTCGTAGTAGGCCGCGGCATGCAACACCTCGGCGTCAGTGTGGGCCGCCACATTCCACCCCGGCCGTACGACGACAGTGGCTCGGGGCATAGGTCGGGTCAGCGATAACCACCGTACACTAGGGTTACTCCCTAGAGGTGGCGTGGGTACCCTCCCAAAAAGAAGAAATGATGAAGCCAGTTTGGCTCAAAGTGTGTCATTCACACAATAGCACAATCTTTGCGATTATTCGGATGCATATTATTATATTATATATATATTATATATAATGATATTCGAAGGAAGTTTAGAAATCAAACTTCCGACAATATGGAGAGATGAAAAAGCAGTCAGCAGGGAGAAGAGTCAGAATAGAAAAGATCAGAAGAAAGAAGATGCAGGTGATCGAAAAGGTAGCAAAGTCGCGAGACACTGTTTTTTCGTGGTTTTGTGGCTCCGGAGGGTTGAAAAGTAGGCTCGCTAAAGCGGCCGGTGCGGAGACATCTGGGGAGATGAGAGATGAAAAGTTGCACGCCGTTGTGGCGCGAAGCCGATTTCGAAGTGAAAAGGTACAAAACACCTCAGCGTCGGACCACTTTTGGAAGTTGAGATGTTGAAAAAGTGCACGGCGTTGTGGCGCGAAGCACATTTGGAAGTAAAATGTGTTAAAAACTTAGGGGTTCGGAGACATTTTAGAAGTTGAGATGACGAAAAAGTGCACGGCGTTGTGGCGCGAAGCACATTTGGAAGTAAAAAGTGTTAAAAACTGGCGGTCTCGGAGCACTTTTGGAAGTTGAGATGTCGAAAAAGTGCACGGCGTTGTGGCGCGAAGCACATTTCGAAGTCAAAAAGTGTTAAAAACTGAGGGTCTCGGAGACATTTTGGACGTTCAGACGTCGTTTTGTGTGGCAGGTGGGGTGGATTGTGCATCCACTGAAAGGTGACCAAAACCTGAGGGTGTTGTAGTATTTTAAAAAAAAGGATGGCAGGCGTGGGAGATTTGAAGAGGCATTTTTCGTGGCAGGCGCAGTACAAGAGGCATCTTCAGCAGAGATGTTCGGAGCTCAAGGAGCTGATTTCCTGAGAGGGGTTGCATTTTGGCGTATCAAATCATCAGCTATGCCAAGATGCTTTTTCGTGACAGGTGCAGCATTTCGTATGACCTGGACTAACTTTTTCGTGGCAGGCGCAGTACTTTAGAGACATGGCATGGAAAAATCGCAAAACGCATTGGTACGAGGCCGTCAGCTGTACAGTCAACTTTCCATTTTTGAAGGAAGTCTCGCAGAATTGCTTCGTTTTTGATATTTTCAACTGCAAAAAGTGAGAAAGTCCCGCAGAATTGCTTCGTTTTTGATGTTGCCAACAGAAAGATAGATGGATGGATAGCTGGAAGAAGAGGTAGACGGACAGATGCATGGATGAATCGATAGTAGAGAAACAGAACGAAGAACATGGTGATGGATAGCTGTGGACATGGATCGATGAAGAGATGGACGGAAAAAAACAACTAACAGAGAGAAGTAAGTGGATGGATGAATGGCTGGATAGACAGAAAGATAGACAGTTTAATAGATAGGTGAATAAACAAATCGATCGATAGATACATGAACAGACAGGTAGATAGGTAGATGGCTAGAAAGGTAGCTCTGTAGATAGATGGCGAAAGAGAGACACAGAGAGAAAGAGAGACACAGAGAGACAGAAAGGGAGAAACACTCAACCACCTTTCAATCCATCAGTGGGTTCGCTCTGCCATTTTTGCGTCACACCAACTCACCTCTCCTATAGGTTTTCCATTTTTGAAACTTCCGCCACCGCCTTGTGCGGTACTACTGGTATCTTATATATATTATATATAATGATGGCGATGATGACGGTGACCACAGCAATACTGACGATTAAGGTGAGGGTGATGCTCATGATGTGAGGGTGTGATGACATGGAGGCCACTGTCTCTGTCTTAGCATGTCTTGGGTATCACTGCTATCACCTTACCCAAGTAGCAGCTAATTCGGCTAAGTGCTTCACCAAGGATAAACCCCGCCTCGAACAACTCCAAGGATTCGGTGCCTCGACTGGCAAACATCCGGCGCATTCTCGTCGCAGCATCTTCTGGCTCAGCTTCTTCGTCCTCCTCAATGTCCTCAATGAAGCTATTGACCAAGCTCTCGTAGGTGTCCGGGTGTTTGAACGCCTCGCCAGCAACAACTTCAAAGCTCCCTTGAAATCGGCTCCGATTGTGAGCTTCGGCCCTGGACTTTAGACCTGAAGCCTGCAACAGGGTACCAAGAATCATTTTTGCAAACCAATCCAGCCACAATAGTTCTGCTACAAGGCACTTATACCAATACGAGTGGAAAAAACTTTCTGGGTAAGGCGTGCTGCTACGGACAAAGTTTACTCTGTTGGACAGGACTGTGTTTGCGGCTAGGGATGCTGGATGACTATTGACAACCTTCTCAAAATTTGGAAGCGTAGATGAAGGGCCTCGCCATAAATTTTGGAGAAAAAAATCTTTGAAAATCTTTAACTGACGTAGCTTTCATGTTGAAAGAACCGAAAGCCCCATTCTTGCAAAAAATGGTCGATCGTACAGTGCACAAATGCTGTTCTGCCATGGCATCATCCCGCGATTTCGGCCAAGAAACTTTGGCTCCATCATTCTGTGGAACACCGGGAATTGATGCAGAAGCCCTGGGCGAGTGTGGAAAATCGGTGTAAAGTTGTGGATGTCCACTTGTCTTGTGGCCAGAGCTGCTTTGCATAGGCTGAAGGAGACTGCAGCCAATAAGTCCCAGTAACTAGAACGATTAGATTAGATGATTAGAGTCAACATCAAGCAACTGCGGGGACATGTCAGCTTTGCACAAGGGTGCCGCAAAATGAATGGTCAACATACTCCTTGCATGTTGGAGCAGCCGCAGCCACAAAGTTGACCCCAAGAACAAAAAGGTGATGGCCCCTACTTCTACCAAAATAAAAAACCACTATTTGGCAGCTCTAGGATTGTTCCAGAAATACGCCACTGGAGTTCGTCATATCATCGGAAGATGACCTATTTGAGATTAATTGCTCTTCAATATCTTCAATGTCCATGTCCTGACACTTTGAAATGTGTCACCGATCGAAGTTAATTGCAATCTCTGCAAATGCTTTGGCGGCAGCTGAGGCTGGAATGCCTTTGCAGCTGTAAAATTGGAATTGCTATCTGCCCTGGTGACTGCAACCAAGGCTCCCGTCAAGTCGAACCCAATCTGATGGTTTCCACTCCGCTGCCATGATAGGTGCAGCGCATAGTCGCATGAATGCTTTGAGCCAAACAGCAACGGGAGGTGTGGCAGTCCTGCAGCCTTCAAGAAATCTATCACATCAAGCCCGCGAATCTTCAGAACTTTGACGAAATCAGACAGCACACCTGTTTGTGCAGAAACGCACATGACGCTGCAAAAGAAGAGTCGAATTGTCCAGCGTTGAAGGCCACACGTGAAATACATAGGTGTAGTTTGAATTGGTTCTTATGCAGAGAGAAAAAAAACATGAATGGAATGTATCCCGCTCAAAACAGCAGATTGCGATACATAGAAAGGATGTTGGAATTATATATAACCTTTTCGCTGGAGCTGAAGCTGTACACGCGCTTCTGCTGACGTCCTGTGAATGATCGAGGTCAGCGGAGCATATTTGCAAAAGCGTTGATCTGGCAACAGGAGAGCTGCATCCAGACTGATCCAGACAACTGGAGGTAACAAAATGTCAAATATCCTGATATGCTTGCCTTGCGTGTTGTAATTGTGTTTGGCCTACTCTTACATCACAAATCTTCTGGTCGTTCTGATAGTCTTGGGTCAAGCCCCCAAAGCCGTCAACATTTTGCGGTGAAACGCTCAGGCAGACAAGTTGCACATCAGCTGCTTGACACGCCTGCAACACCAGTCTCAAAAGTCAAAACCATCGAACCGTCAACATGTGACTGTCATCAAATTCACAATGACACTGTCATCACATTGCATGTGGCATCAAGTGGCCCTGCCTTCGCTTTGACTGCTTTGATTGATTCCATCTGGCACATCAGATCCGGGCAGAACATCTGGCTTCGCCAGGCTCGCAATAGCCAAGCGTGTGGCCCTCAAAGGAACCAAGGTGGTGGCTACAGTGAGGCCAGCAATTGTGGAAGCTACTGCGGGGATCACGTCCTTTCCAATCCGAGGCCTTTGGGCGGTGTTTTGATGGCTCTCAGCGCTGTCAGCAGCCTCAGCACTGCCTACAAAATATCCAAAGGCTGATTGAATCTCCGAGCGCCCAGTTTCAAAGTCTTGAAACACCTGCTGCTTGAAACGGTCAACCTCTCCGGCCGGCTCTGCTGGTGGTGGGTCAACGATTTGATTTTCTCTGTCTGCAGGTGCTGGAAACTGTGCAGCAGTCGCGATGCTCCTGGCTGCCAGTTTCGTGCCATGCAAAGGGATTAGCCTTGCAGTTGCGCAAACACCAGCTGTGAAGCCAGCAACATGACCAGCCACCTGTCTACCTCGGTTTGTATCTTCTTCATCTCGCACAAGAGCCCCGCGCATGTCTTGGTAGTTGGATCGAAAATCCGTCACAACCTGTTCTTTGAAGCGGTTCCAGCCTTCATAGTAAGAGTTGCCTTCCTGACCCACATGCGGCTCTGTACCAGCAGCTTGCAGAGTGTCAGGTTCAGCGGCATTGAGGGGAGGATCTTGAGAAATCTCCGACCCCAAGTTGTCATGAGACCTGCCGTTCTCTTGTACAGTTTCAGGTTTTTCATCCTGCTCTGCTACAATTGTCACCCTCAGCAGGCCTGCAGTGGCAGTTTCCAGAGCTGCATGCAATGTCTCAGAAGTCAAGGGGCACTCCTGCCCATCCTGCCCCTCATCCCTCATATACTTCAAAGTCTGGCCCACATCCTCCAAGTCAAAAAGGTTCAGCACAGACTGCTTGAGCGTCTCGTAGGAGACAGAATCATCACAGGGCCAGTCCCGCAGTCGTCTCACCTCCTTTTGATATGACACTTTCAAAGTCCACTTCTGCGGGACCTCTTTTGCCATGGCTACGGAAGAAGAAGAAGAAGAACCCAATCTTCAATGCCGCTAAAATGTGCAAAGATCCTATAAAGCTGCGGCAGAATTTTCAGTTGTCAGCTCTAACATTGCAACAACACTTATCGTCTTGCGAGTGATCCAGTGAGATGCAGCACTCATGGTCAAAGCATCGTGCAGAACCATAACTTTCAGGAAGCGTGCTTTTATGTATTGTCTTTATGGAGAAGTGAATCAGCACATTTTGGCCTACTGTGACGCCGATGTCCAACATGCTAGTGCCCCAAGCCTGCAATGGTTTCCAATCCAAACTGCTAAACTGCTGGTCTCGAGATTCACCTGCTCCTATCGAAAGTGTCCATTGGCTGCAAACACTTTTGGGCGCCTTCTCATCCGTTTGGCCTTCAATTTTTTTGGGCATCCACCTCTGTTGGAACTTTGCACTTGCATGCCCTTGCAAGTTTCGAATCAAACATTAAGATCTCGACTTGCTTAGGTACACCGTGCTCGTTGGGAACAACGGGCCCTGTCCAACTTGGGGGACATCTGGCGTTATCCCCACTTACAAGCTTGTGGTACCTGACAATGAAGCAATCAGAAATGGCGCCTGCACGCTGCCCATAACCATCATGATATACCAAAGGCCCGACCTGCATGCTGCTCATTGAGAAAACTGCCAGGGTAACTGCAAAAGGAGCAGCGAAGACGATAACAAGCCACCGCATCAGACTAGGGTGAAGACACTCCCATTGAATCTACACACAAGGGCAGCACCAAACCTGGTTCACAAATTCAACACACAGTCGCCCTGAAAAACTGCACCCAAAAAAATCACAAAACACCCTGGGTCGCAGACAACAAAGTGCACTAAAACCAAGTGCGGCCGTCATGACCTTTGGAACTTGAGACACGACGGAGTCAGTGTTGCCTGACTTTCCACACTTTAGAACACTCTCAGGTGCTGGCATTTTTGGCTCCAAGGCGATCTGCAAGCGCACCCCCTGGCACCTGTTCAATTTGTTCAATATCACAATCACCTATTTTGCACCCGATTTTGGACGCCTAAATTTTCAACTATTCACTGGCCTGCGTGAAGAAGTACCCTGCAGCAATGGCTGACAGCCTCGGAATACAGTCCACACAACTTCCCAAAGGAGGAATATTGAGTATTCAGCCTCCGACAAACTTCCTTTCTGCACGGTTGTGATGTCCAGTTCCGCACTCATGAACACCAACAGCGGTGAAAGCGCGTTGCCTTGAGTTGAACAAACGCGTCCGAACCCACAACGGCAAACTGGTAATTGAGGCAATGGCGCATCGATTGTTGCACCATTCTGGTCCCCAACCTGAGATTGTCACGTTCAACAGAACCGCCGGCATTAAAAATAAATGGAATTGGCAAGGCCAAATGCTGGCTGGCAGCAGCAGCAGTCCTTGGATAGTGCGGGCCAATACCTCAACAGTAATCACATTTTCAACGTCAAGAAACTGGTGGAAACTGAGCGTATTAATTTATTTGATGCACTTAACAAACCAAATAAAACAACAAAGAACAAGTTTGGATTTGCTAATTTCACATGGTTTTGGAAAAGAAACCCGTGAGCAAACAACAATTTTACACAAAATTTATATACAACGTTTGCAACAATTCCAAAACATTTTTTTCAGACACCACCGTTACTAGTCATTTCCAATATACATACGCAATTGTTAGATTTGTTGGCACTCAGGCAAACCTTAAAATGGGAAGTCCATTTCACCAACTTAAAGCCAAGGGGTCAGGGGCGCAAAACTAGTTTTGAAGTCGAAGGGGAAAGGGGAACGTGTGGTGAAAGAGCGGTGTGTGAGGAATGGGAAAAACGAAATGAAACGGATAGAAAATAGGTCTGATAATGCTGATGATGCTGATGATGGCGACGATGACGTGATTGGCGGTTCCAGGCTCTGCCAATATCTTGCTACAGGAAGACTCAGCTAGCAGGAACTAGTTTTCGTGATTACCATGGAAATACATGCGGCAAAACATGCTTTCCAAGTATGAATCGTGCAAATCCATTTGTATAAAGTGCATGTGTGTGTGTGTGTCAATGCACAAAAAGTGGTTGCAACAAACCCAACCACAAAATGGTACATTTGGATGGAATCTTGTGCGAACATATTTGCTGTTTTCGGTTGCGCCCAAATCAACCGAATCAAAAATCCGCATTTTCGATCACGTCTGCGCCAGCGACCGCAGGTGGGGGAAACATAAGGGTAGCAAAAAAAAATGTGGTATGTTTTGTTAACTTCAAATTCATGATTTTTGGCCGCGTACATTTTCCATGCGATTTGTAACATGTCGGAGCTGGAACTGTCCATGCTGCGTGCTATTTGTGACATTTCGGAATCACAAGTTTCCATGTTGCGTGCTATTTGCCGCGTGTTGGAGCTGGAGCTATTCAGGGCATGCGGGAGCTGGAATCACAGAGTTTGCACACCAATTTGAAAATCCAAAATCCATGGCGGAGAGTCCAAACCCCAAAATCTATATACCAAAGTCGGGGAGAAGTGGCTGGCTGGATTCGAAGGTGCTGGGGAATTCCGCGAGGGCGGCACGGCAAGTTTTCTTTGATGCAGCATGAATTTATGTGGAGCACCGAGGTGCGCCAGTGCTCCCCGAGCATGTGGCTATGCCATTGCTGGACTGTGTTTGCCTGTAATTGGCGCGTAGCTGCTTGGAACAGGGCCTGTTGGGAGGGGACCTTGTTGAAGCCAGGCGCCCCGCGCGGGTGGGCGTGGCTGTGTGATTGCTGAGTGGCATTTTTTTCCTGGCATGTATTGTCGGGTGTTGTGTTGTCCATTTGTGAGCGTGTGCAGTGACTACTATTATTACGCCCATTATTTTTTCGTTTTTATGTTTGTTTTCATTGTCATGTTCGTTTCCATGTCTATTTTTTTATCGTTATTTTAAATGTTCTTAACATTTATTTTTATTTTTTACGTTTTTGTTTATATTTTTTGATTTTTGACTCTTATATGATTACCGTCATTTCCGATCACAAATGTTATTGTTTTTGTATGTTTTTGTTGTTATTGTTGTTGTTGTTGTTGTCATTGTCGTTGTGGTTATGGTTGTGGTTGTGGTCGTGGTTGTCGTCGTCGCTGTTGTTGCTGTTTTGTTGCTGCAGTTGTTGCTTTAATTGCCGTTATTGTGGCTATTGTTGTTATTCCAAATCCCAACAAAATGTATGACAAAGGGAGGACAGACGTTTGTGCAGACAATCCGCGGACTTCAAAAGACGTTGCTGTGCCACATCGAGGCTGAGATCAAGGCGACCATTCCTTCAAGACATGTGGTTGTACAATGGGCTGCAATGAATGCTTCGTTGCTCTACAACAGAAACAATGCGCATTCGACGTTGAAGGTGGTTCCTTATCAAAATTTGTGGGGACGGCCATACCAAGGCAAGGTGTGAGCTTTGGGCAGACAGTGTTCCCCCGGCTTGGACCCAACCAAAGGCGACGAAATACAAACCTGCTTGGAGATGCGGCGCATGGTTGGGCAAGGACATTGCTGACCATGATCTTATCAGCACAGATGGACAATTCATCATGCGCACAAAGGCTGTCAGAAAGATTTCCAACCAATGGGGCGCAGAACTATTTCTTGGAATGACAGATGGTCCTGTGGATTTTTTTGGTCACAGACAGGTCAAGTCGAAGCAGAAGATCATTCCTCTTTCAGCACCTCCTGCTGAAGTGATTGACGACGAAGCAGAAACACTACAAGATCAAGTGCTCTCAGATGGCTACTCAGCTTCTGAACCTTTGGACATGGAAGATGCAGAGGGCAGACAAGATCCAATGGAAGCTTAGGTTTGGGAAGATGCTGGACTTGAACATGGTTCCGATTGGGGCCATTTCACCAGGAATGATGGCACCAGTCACACCCTTAGCTGAGGCGCCCAGTGACGATGATGTTGACATTCCAGCGACTTTTTACAAACACGCTTCGAAACTGCTCTTGTAAGTGACGGTTTGAAATCTCAGAAGATGGACGATGATCCTATACCAACACCAAAGGTCAAGGCGGCAAAGACTGAGGGCAACATGCTGAGGTTGAACTTTGTCACAATGACGAGGAAATTTTGGAAGATGAACTTGGGTTTCACGATGATGAGGACGACTACATTGCAGAACAGAAAGAAGAGGCGGGACCACCCCAGGTCAGAAACTGAAGGAATTGGACGAACAAACTGCACTGGATGAAACTCTACAGGATGGATGTCCGTCAGCCTGTGTCACTTACCCCAAAAGAAGCTGGGAATTCAAACACGGTGGGCACAACATTGGTATTTGACTGGAGAAACCGAAATGACAGCGGTGCAGGGTGGGCGCAAGGGAGTTCAGAACGAACAATACAGATGAGACAAGCTTTGCACCAACATCAGCCTTCTCAGCAGCGGGTATGTTATTATTGCGTTCCTCATGGTTCCACAGGCGGAGGTCATGTTTCTGGAGATTTTGTTTGTGGAAATTCCCCAGTGGGTACGTGAGTTGCGTCAAAGGGATGGAACCCACTGGAGGCTACTCAAATGTTTTCCTGGTCAACGCAATGCGGCTCCACACCTACGGTGATGAGTTCTGTCATTGGTTCATCCTCTTGGGGTTCCACCAATGTGGTGCGCCATTACCTGCTAGGTCGTCTGCTGCGCCAACCACCCTCTGTCCAGCAGTCAGGTACTCATCAACTATCATGTCACTTCTCTGACATGCAGCCCGAAAGCGAACATGAAGGTAGACAATCTCATTTCTCAACATCCACCAGGAGAGCCACAAACTCGGTCGAATGAGCCATCTGTAGTGAAAACCAATCAGCCACGGAGCGTTGCGTATTGAAAATCAATGTCGAACTTGAAAGTTCCTCCAGGTCAGTGGTCCTCCAATCCAATCAGTGGTATGTTGAAGAGCGGTTGTTTCGATGAATCGTGGCGGGCTACACTTTTTGCAATGTTGCCGAAGATGGGGGACACATCAAGACCAAGTTGTTGGAGGCCAATTGCTATTCTCAAAATTTCCAACAAAATATGTTCCAAGCTGATTTGTCAGAGGTTGAGGATTACATTGGACAGCCATCAAAGCATTGACCAAACAGGGCTTAGGCCTGGCACTGGTATTGAGGACGCGTTCCTTGTTTTCAAGTCATTGTGCAGCAAGAGCCTTGAGTGGAATTTGCCCCTGTGGTTTGGCAAGTTTGGATTTGACTAAAGCCGTTGATCGTGCTGACTATGGTCCTCTATTTGAAGCTTTGCTGGAACAAGGTGTGCCAAAACCATATTGCGAATTATTATGGAAACTTTATCAGAATCAAAGTGGTAAATTGCAGCAGGGACACGGGTTTTCCATTCAGAGAGGTGTGAGACAAGGAGATGTCATAAGCCCTATTCTTTTCAACGCTGTGTTGGAGTCGGCAATGCGGAAATGGAAACGCAGACTGTTGGCGAGTCACGGTTTGGTCATTGCCGGGGAAAAAATTACTAACATCAGCTATGCAGATGATTCGATGCTATACGCCCAATATTTGCAAGACTTGAAGGATATGACGGCACTTTTGATTACAGAACTCGGAGCCATGGGTCTTCAACTCAATGCATCAAAACAAAAATATTGACAACTGTTTCCGGAAGTCGACCTATGCACGTGGAACTTGCTGGTGGTTCAGTGGAAATATTAAGTGGCCGTAGCAAACACAAATACTTGGGCAAAACATTGGTGGGTGATCTTCGTCATTGAGCTGAAGTTGAATTGGGCCACAGGCTGCAGGTTACATGGGCGAAGGTTCACAAACACAGACATGTGTTAACCAACAAACACGTCGCATTGAAATTGCGGCTCAAATTCTTCGATTCGGTTTTGTCTCCAACAGTTTTATTTGGTTTGGCCACGATTGGACGTTCCCCAACGGAAAATGCTCCGAACAATTGTAGGGTGGGTGGCGGTGGATTCAACTGATTGGAAAACAACACTGCGGCGAATGAATGAAAAACTGGACACACACTTCGTTTATATCCAATTAGCCTGTGGGGTGATGCAATTTTCAGGACACAATTTCGTTTATCTGCGCGTGTCTGTCGACATTTGGAGCGATGGCCTGCAGCAGCAACTTTTTGGAATCCTCCTGACAATGCCGAAGCTTATTTTACAAACCAACCTTTTCGAAAACGTGGACGCCCACAAGTGAGATGGGATGACAACTTACGGAAATTTGGTGAAATGCAATTTCAACAAAAAACATGGTCCATTCCTGCTCGACATACTGCCTTATGGCGTTCTTTTGAAAACGAGTACGTCCATATTGTGAAACGTTTGCATTGTAAACTTATGGTTTTGATTTGGTTAGTTTCTTAGTTTCGCGTTTCCCCCCCGTCCTGAAAGGACCCTAGTCACTGACTCGGACGGGCGAAAGAAAGAAAGAG